GAATGACACAGATGAATAAGTAGATTATTCAGTCGGCTGCATTCGTAAAGTGAGTGAGTGCTTTAGGAGATAAAATAGGCAACCCCCTCCCCCTTCAAATACCTTTCAGAATTTGAGTAATAGTTTCAGGTAGTTGTAGGTACACCTTTCTCAGCAAAGATCTGTGTTCACGGTTTATGTATAGTTAAATGAGCTGGTGGAGTGGTTTCATAATTGCAGTATTGTTAGTCAAACTCTGTAATTAGGGATGACTTCATAGGCATAAGATTCTTCTATGGGTGACGCCCTGAATTCATACCCAGTTGTACACTATATCCTTTTACGAAAAAACAAACAAACAAGGTTTTGTTTGCTTTTGTTTTATTCCCTTATTGGAAAATCTGTTTTCCTGTGTCTTATATGTTTAGTGAAGGAGGGCTGGCTTTTTCTACAGCTTTCCCTTTTCCTTTACAGAAATGGCAGGCATAGGAGCTAGGGAGGAAACAGAATTTGGGACAGATTAAAGTGCTTTGCAGATGAACAAATTCAGAAAAGTGTAGAGACTCCAGGACGTTTTATTTTTGATAAGTATTAAAACTGCTGAGTTTAAATGGAGGAAAAATATATTTCTATTTCTTTGAATGTCCGTTCTCTTTCTCTCTCCCTCTCTCTCATCATGTAAATAAAGTCCACTTTTGCGTGGTGGCACACATCTGTAGTCTCAGCTACTCAGGAGGCTGAGGCAGGAGGATTGCTTGAGCCCAGAAGATTGAGGCTGCACTAAGCTGAGACTGCACCACTGCCTGGGTGACAGAGTGAAACCCTGTCTCAAAAAAAAACAAAAAAAAAAACAAAAAAACAAATACATAAAGTCCATTTTTGTGAGAAGACAGACTGGGAAAGAGGACATATTTGAAAATCAGTGTTTTTTTTCCTTTTGCCTATAAATCACATATTGTGAAATTGGAGTTAAACTTTTATTCAGCAAGTAATACTTTCTCTTCACCTTTTTCCAGTACTCGTGAAACAATTTGCAAATTAGGAGGAATGTGACAATATTGACAAGCTGTTAGCTATTTTGAAAAGTGATCCTAAATTATTTAAAGAAAAATTGTTGTTTGTTTGTATATCTCCTGTCTGCTCTTCAAATTGTGTTTAGAAACTGGCCTTATGGAGGAGCCAAATTGAGTCATGGATTAAAAAGTGACAGGTTTTCCTTTAGGCCCATCCTTCTTAAATTACTTTGACCAAAGGCTTGTAATTTTTTTTTTTTTTTTTTTTTGATACGGAGTCTCGCTCTGTCGCCCAGGTTGGAGTGCAGTGGCGTGATCTCGGCTCACTGCAAGCTCCGCCTCCCGGGTTCACGCCATTCTCCGGCCTCAGCCTCCCGAGTAGCCGGGACTACAGGCGCCCGCCACTGCGCCCGGCTAATTTTTTCTATTTTTAGTAGAGACGGGGTTTCACCATGGTCTCGATCTCCTGACCTTGTGATCCGCCCGCCTCGGCCTTCCAAAGTGCTGGGATTACAGGCGTGAGCCACCGCGCCCGGCCAAGGCTTGTAATTTTTATATATGAGAGAGACCTATTATACTCTGTAGTCAGTAATTATAGGGAGATGAGATAACTTTTTATTTATCCCATGTAAAAGACTATTAGTAGAACTAATGCCTTACATTTATTTATACAGCTCTTCAAAATTAACCCAGGCATTCATTTATTGCCTATTTTCTTTCATGAAGGATTTGAAGTTGCTGTGTAATACTTCATAGTCACAGTATGCTGTCATATATACCATCTGTAATCTTCATTAGGCCCTGGAGGAAGTAGGTATTATTATCACTATTTTCAAATGAGGAAACTTAGGCTGAGACAGATTAATTAAACTTGCTCATGGACACATTACTAGGGAATAGCAGAACCAGAGCAATAATCGATGCCTTCTAATTTCACGTCCCACAGTCTTTCTTCTGTTAGAACATACTACCTCCTTGGGCAAGGTACAACACCTTGGTGTACTGGTACTTGAGATTACATGAAGTGTCTACAGGGCAGTATTGATATCAAATCTTGTGTTTTGTTTTGTGAACCCATCCGGGATGTTATAGTAGCTTGAAGAGAAAAAAGTCCTATAGTACAATGAATGCCCCATGAAGAGGAATAGAGCTTCTGTTATTTTAATTTGTAAGATTTTAATTTTTTAATATCTTTAGTCATTCCCAAGTTACTTAATGTGATGTTTTCTCCCAAGATAGTACTTTACTGCTTGATTTCCTTAAAGACACCATCAAGTATCTGTCAGTAGTGTTAAGGACAGACCATTTTTTAATTCATAGTGGCATAAAGAAGTCTACATTAAACAACTTTATTTTAAGCTTCAAATAGCAAATTTTACAATTGTAATTCTTACCTACTAGAGCATATATTGTGAGCTTTTTAAATTTGGCTTTATATTTTTTAGTCTTGGCCCAGGTACTTCAGAGTAGCATTTCTTTATTTCCTTTCAAATAACTGTCAATAAATGAATATGGGTTTTATTTAAATTGGAAAGTCCTGCATTAAACTGTTCTGTTATCCCAAAACAATCTTGTCTGGAAGTACGGTTTTGAGGATATGTGCATGTTCCAGTTTCTTCTTTTTGTTCTTACTGAAGTGTGTCTCTTTAATGTCTCCAATAGATGGAAAATCTGAGTTGTATGTGCAAAGTCACTTTAGGCTTTTTTAAAGGCAATTAGAAATAAGAAACTTAGGTCCGGGCGCGGTGGCTCAGGCCTGTAATCCCAGCACTTTGGGAGGCCGAGACGGGCGGATCACGAGGTCAGGAAATCGAGACCATCCTGGCTAACATGGTGAAACCCCGTCTCTACTAAAAATACAAAAAACTAGCCGGGCGGGTGGCGGGCGCCTGTAGTCCCAGCTACTCGGGAGGCTGAGGCAGGAGAATGGCGTGAACCCGGGAGGCGGAGCTTGCAGTGAGCTGAGATCCGGCCACTGCACTCCAGCCTGGGTGACAGAGCAAGATTCCGTCTCAAAAAAAAAAAAGAAAGAAGAAACTTGAAAAATTTAAAATATATATATATTTATAATGCACTGGATTAATTTTTGGAGTAAACTGGTGCCCTAAAATCATTTCTATGAGATCTAAGCATTTCTTAATTCATTTTTATTTTTTACTTTTTTTATTGAGACAAGGTCTTGCTCTGTCATCTATCCTGGAGTGCAGTGACGTGCTCATAGCTCAGTGCAGCCTCTACCTCCCGGGCTCAATCGGTCCTCCCACCTCAGTTTCCCAAGTAGCTGAGGCTAGAGGCATGCACCACCACCCACGATGCCCAGTTAACTTTTTGTATTTTTGGTAGAGGCCAAGTTTCACCATGTTGCCCAGGCTGATCTTGAACTCCTGAGCTCAAGCAATCTGCCGCCTCCACCTCTCAAATTGCTGGGATTACAGGCATGAGCCAGCACTTGCTAATTTTATAGGAAGAAGAAAAGAACTGCGTTTCTGGCCACTCTGAGAAGAAATTAATAATCCTTAAAGTCTCTAGAGACTTTTTTCTTCTAAAAAAAAGGATATTTTTCCCTTTTATTGCAGTCACTAATTCACTCTGTGTCATATTGTAATTATTCATGTTTGCTTCAGCAGATTGTAAATTCCTTGAGGGCAAGAACTAGGCATATAGCAGATGCCTAAAATATTGGTAAAATTGTTTGAGAAATGGGGGGAGGGCATGTTGGGAAGAAAGAGATGTCTACAGGATTTAATCAGAGCCAAACTGGTCAGCAGGGATAAGCGGGGCGGGGGGCAGGAGTGGTTTATGTCCAGAACCATCTTATCTAATTTCTTTTTCTTTTTTCTTTTTTTTTTTTTTTTGCAGTGATGCACTGATGGCTCACTGCAGCCTCGACCTCTCAGGCTCAAGTGATTCTCCCACCTCAACCTCCAGAGTAGCTGGGATCACAGGCACGCACCACCACTCCTGGATAATTTTTGTATTTTTGGTAGAGACGGGGTTTCACCATATTGGCCAGGCTGGTCTCGAACTCCTGGGCTCAAGTGATCTGCCCGCCTTGGCCTCCAAAAGTGCTGGGATTACAGACATGAGCCACTGCACCCAGCCCTAATTTTCTTTTGCATAGAAGTGATATGGTAGTGTGAGAATAAGCTCAGTTGTATGGGTTTCTTTTAGTTGTTTTTTACCCACATACTTTAAATTATTACTGGCTCACAATCTGCCCAAACTGAAAAGGACCTTTAGAGGTACAGGAGAGAGGCCACGTGTTTTAGATTTCTGAGATGGTCTTACTTTTATACTTTCTGTGCCGTTATTCTCCATGGTATAATTCATGAAGATGTGTAATAATTTTTTATTGAAAACATGATTGTTTGAAAGGTGTGAAGAAAATTGGAATAAATCCTATGTCGTATTTTTGTAATGGGGAGTGTTGAACATATTAGTGAAACAGAATATTTTTAGAGTTACTACTATTCGTTTGCATTTAACTTATGAATTTTTTTAAAAAAATTTTTTTTGGAGATAAGGTCTCACTGTGTTTCCCAAGCTGGTCTCGAACTCTTGACCTCAAGCAATCCTCCCGCAGTGCTGGGATTGCAGTTCTTTTTATTCTTGATCTTTAAAATGCCTAACTTCAGGTCTGAGCGTGGTGGCTCATACTTGTAATAACAGCACTTTGGGAGGCTGAGGTGGGTGGATTGCTTGAAGCCAGGAATTCAAGATCAGCCTGGGCAAAATGGTGACACCCCATCTCTACAAAAAATACAAAAATTAGCCAGGCATGGTGGCCTACGCCTATAGTCTGAGCTACTTGGGAAGCTGAGGAGGGAGGATCACCTGAGAGGGAGGAGCCTGGGAAGTCAAGGTGGCAATGAGCCGTGATCGCACCACTGCACTCCAGTCTGGGCGACAGAGTAAGACCCTGTCTCAACAAACAAACAAACAATAACAACAACAAAAACCACAAAGCCTAACTTCATTACTAACTTACGAACTTGCTTTTCCTCATAGATCCTGTGATTACTCTGAAAGGTATTTTCATCCAACCTGTCTACTGAGAAGTTATCCATCTTTAGTGGCATCTTGATATCATAGGTAAGAAAAATGAATAGGCGAGCTTTGTTTTATATGTTTTTTTAAGAGTCTAGTGTTATTTATTTTATATTATTTTATTTTATTTGAAACAGTCTCACTCCATCACCCAGGCTGGAGTGCAGTGGTGCGATCTCGGCTCACTGCAACCTCTATCTCCCAGGTTCAAGCAATTCTCCTGCCTCACTCCACCTCCCGAGTAGCTGGGATTACAGGCATCCGGCTACTTTTTGTATTTTCCATAGAGACGGGGTTTCACCATGTTGGTCAGACTGGTCGCGAACTCCTGACCTCAAGCAACCCACCTGCCTCCACCTCCCAAAGTGCTGGGATTACAGGCGTGAGCCACTGCGTCCGGCTGATGGTTTTATTTAATTTTTAAAACACCAGTCACTACATGTGTCTGTTACATTATGGTAAAAACTTAGCTAATAGCATCATATGGTCATTTTAAAACTTCTCCAGGATTTGAGAAACCTGAGTGTGAATTCCAGTCCTGAGAGTCCAGGTCTTCTAATAAGAAAAAAAGGAGATTAGAATATATAGCTCCTGGGACTATTGTGAGGGTTCAGGATATTAATATGCAAATGAATTTGTATAATGTATTAATAGTACTTGGTGTATAGTTGTTGAAGGGATTAATTTTATTAAAGTTCTGTTTTATTGAGTGCCTTACTATGTGCCAGGGGCTGTGATAAATTCTAGAAATAGCAACAATTCTGTGAAAAAGATAGATGTGGCCCAGCTCTCTTATGAATCCCTCCCTGCCACTTCCAGCCCCTACCTCTTTATACCGAGCATTACACTTCTTGGCCAAAACTTGAGTTGGTGAGTAATTTGTTGCGTTTTAACAAAATGTCTAAAAGGGATAAATATAAGATCTCAAAATGTATTTTGTATAGTTTGTGAAATTTAACCCATAGTTTACTTTTTTTGGAAAGGCAACATCTTTAGGGCAGTGGAACTACTCTATGTAATGCTGTAATGGTGGATATATGTCATTATATATTTGTCCAAACCCACAGATTGTACAACACTAAGAGTGAACCCTAATATTCACCAGAGTCTTAGGGTGGTAATGATGTAAGTTCATCAGTTGTAACAAATGTACCACTCAGGTACAGGATGTTTTGGTCAATGACTGATCAAATATCTGATAGTAGTCCCATAAGATTATACTATATTCTTACTGTATGTTTTCTATGTTTAGATATATGGATACCATTGTGTTACAATTGCCTAGAGTGTTTACTACAGTAACCTGCTGTGCCTTTTGTAGCCTAAGAGCAATAGGCCATACCGTATAGCCTATGTGTGTAGTAAGCTATACCATCTAGGTTTGTGTAAGTGCACTCTGTGATGCTTGCACAATGGCAAAATCACCTAACAATGCATTTCTCACGACACATCTCTGTCTTTAAGCAACATGTGGCAGTATATGGGAACTCTCTGTAACTTCTGCTTGATTTTGCTGTGAAACTAAAACTACTCTAATAATAACGTCTATTGACCGGGCACGGTGGCTCACACCTGTAATCCCAGCATTTTGGGAGATCGAGATGGGAGGATCCCTTGAGCTCAGGACTTAGACACCAGCTTGGGCAAGGTGGCAAGACCCTGTCTTTACAAAAAAGAAAAAGAAATAAAGAAAAATAAAGTCTACCAAAAAAATAAATCAGAAGAGAGAAAAAACCCAAAGCAAAAAAGGAGAAAGCAACATGTAATCATTTTCATTTTTCTTCGTCCAAAATTATTGTTATAATAGGTTTGTATTTGGAAATTATCTACTGTGATACAGACCTCCTCTCTTTATTGCCAGAATCAGCAAGGTTTTTCCATATAGGTTCAGATCATAAATATTGTGTGCCAAGAGGTAAAATCAAGAATATTATGATATTAATATCAAGGATATAATATATTATTTCTAAAAGTTTTTATTGATAAAATTCAAAATATAATAATTGAGTATAATTTTTTGGTAATACAATTCTGATGAGAAGAACAGAATTCTTTTTTTTCTGGGATAACATTTCACTTAATTGGGTTCAAAGTTAATGTGCCCCATCATCAAAATTGACTGCAAAAAATTTCCTTTCATAACCATATCCAGCTTGAGGTCATACAAAAACAACTGGTGATCCAGTTTTGGCCCACAGGCCATATGTAGTTTGCCAACCTTTGTTCTATTAGTTAAATAGATCAATAAGGCCAAATTGGAAAGGGTGTATACTCAGATCATATAATAATTTACATGCATAAGAATGTGTATATTAGCACACATGTGCATTTTTATATCAAAACCAACTATAATTTGCTTTGTTTCCTCTTTATTTCTCCTTTAATGAGAGTGATTGATAGGTGTCAGTGTGCTCTTTGAAAATCAGTGTTTTCACAGTGAATGATTCTAAAGTGGCTTAATAGGAAAATGATATTTTCCGTGAATCATTGGTCACATAATTTTGACCTTTAGCTTTGGCTCGTATAACCAAGAATTTCTATTATGTAGCTTTTTCCTGTCACTGCTGGGTACTTTGGCCCTTCCTTAAACTTTTTGAATGTAATTTAAGATTTTGTCCTTAGAAGGAAAATTCAGAAATATTTTTTCTCAATAAATTTTGGTAAGTGATGACTTCTCACTTGTTTGTTTTCTTTATTAAAGCTGTACATAGGGACATGGTAACCTATTCAGATTGTTTTAGTAGTTTGAAATTCTGTTTAAATTATCCCTAAGATGAGAACTTAGCAAGAGTGCTTATATTTATCACAATTATTTTAAATCTGAAACCTTTTCGGTTTTTCTTTAGATCTTTAAATGGATGAGATGGCTACCACTCAGATTTCCAAAGATGAACTTGATGAACTCAAAGAGGCCTTTGCAAAAGTTGGTGAGTATTTTTTGTAGTAAAACTATAGGGAAGCAATATTTATTTGGTCCCAAAGTTATTTCTCTAAAAATATCACGTGAATGGTTAATCAAAAACATTACAGCAACATAGTTAAAATAGATGAGATAAAGTTTTGGAAGCTATACTTAAAATTGTTTTATTTATTTATTTATTTATTTGGTCAAGAGTGGTAGCTGATATTATTTCCAATTTTATATAGTATTTAATATGGTCAAATTTTTTAGACCACAGTTCCAATCCTTAACGGGTGACTGTTATGTATGGTTCCTGAAATTTCCATGCCAAATTTTAGTTATTATATTTTGTATCTCGTATCTTTCTGAAGAGGTTTGAAACTTTCACCATATTCTCAAAGGGATATGTGACCCTCGAAAACATTAGATGATGTTTTACCCTTCCCTAATTAGTTTGGCGTTATTGCCTTTTTTATGGGTTTTCTGAGCCTTTGGATAATGCAGATCGTTCTACCTCGCCATGTTAAATTATAGCTTCAGTATAAGATGAGAAGGCATAGCATGCCATTTGATTTATCCTTTATCATCATATAACATGCCTTACAATTGAGCAGCTATGGAATATAAATATGGAATATTTACATTCCAAATTTTAGTGCTCAGGTCAAGTCTATAGACAGTAATGAGAAAACAGGGTAAGAACAGACTACTTATGTAAATACATGAATCAGCATGTCCTTAGAGAGGTAGATTATTATTATTTGGTATCTCCTTGACTAAAGGGTACAGAATTAGCTCATATAATGATTTGTTATATAAATCAGAATTTGCCATTAGACCTGTGTTGAAAATCCCATTAGTGGCCGGGCGCGGTGGCTCAAGCCTGTAATCCCAGCACTTTGGGAGGCCGAGGCGGGTGGATCACGAGGTCAGGAGATCGAGACCATCCTGGCTAACATGGTGAAACCCCGTCTCTACTAAAAATACAAAAAACTAGCCGGGCGTGGTGGCGGGCGCCTGTAGTCCCAGCTACTCGGAGGCTGAGGCAGGAGAATGGCGTGAACCTGGGAGGCGGAGCTTGCAGTGAGCCGAGATCGCGCCACTGCACTCCAGCCTGGGTGACACAGCGCGAGACTCCGTCTCAAAAAAAAAAAAAAAAAAGAAAATCCCATTAGTGAAAAATGAGGAAATATCCACTTCTGTTCCCATATATTTATGATCAACATTTTCTATGAAATCATTCAGTAGTAGCAGTGTACCTTGGGAAGAATAGTGACCCCAGCCAGAGTGACCATTCATAATCCCATCAAAATTTTAACTAGAAAAAACTGAATAGTCCTGAATCTAACATGATTGCGTGCGTGTGTGTGTGTGTATAAAAATAGCAGTTAATTAACTTGCCATGGATACCACTTACTGTAAGAAAAATGCTACATAGTTTAATATATAACAGCAAGTGAATTCTTGGCTGCAAGAGTTTTTTTTTTTTTTAATGTCTCTCATTCTGTCAAAATAGTCTTATAATTGTTTTAGGAGTGCATTTGTTGAACCTTTTTTAAAATTTATATTCATCTTTCAACATTAGCAGCAGCTTAATTTGTTCTTTATGAATAGAATTTCGGAGTAGACACCATGCCCTATTAAGTACTCATCTCCTCAAGTAAAAGCTGAATACAGGTCTTGTCCTCACATGCAGCATCTTGGAAATAATTATGTGCAATATTCCTTAAAAATTAAAGATAATTCAGATATTATTTACCTGATGAGACTTGGAATACATTTTACAAGTAAAAGAACTTCATTGTCCCTTAAAAGCTTAATGACATAAAGAGGATTGACCAATCATCTTCATAGTGGAAGCAGTTAAATTGTATTAAGTAAGGAATCAATGAGAAGTTTGACTGCAAGAAAAGGTCATTGTGGAGCTATTGTTTAAGTAGAGTTTAAGATAGGCGTACAGTTTGCCAACGCCCCTGCCAGGCATATGTTCCTAACATACTCAGGCTCTTATTACTATATATGCTGTAAAGAATTCTGGAATCCAGAATTCCTGCCTGTTGTGAATATTATTCTTTCGTAGTGTCCACTCAGTATCTAGCATAGTGTTGCACACATGTTAGGTTCTCAGTAAATATTTCACTGATTGAAACCCAAGGAACTATATACATGTAGCCTTTTGATGTACTGGGATTTTTGTCATTATCAACTATACATTCAGAGGGCCTTTGTTGTGAAGCTTTTCATTACAGTGGAATTTATTGTGAAAGGTTTTTGCCATTAAATTGTAGCATATAAAATTTATATGTATTTTTCAGCATAATAATGCTTGTGTGTACTCCATCTTTTAGAAACTCATTTAAGGACCCAGCAGTCTTTCGATTTTCTTTAAAAAAATCTTTGTAGTTTTAAGTTGTTGTTAGTTACAGAACCCTCAGGCAACTGTCAAAGGTGTTACAGAAATTTTTTTCCTAATTCAGGGACACTTTATTTTAAAAACAAGCTCTGTAACTTATTATCCTCTGAAGGACAGTTTTTCCTTTTTGTGGGAGTGGGTTGGCAGAGAATAGGAAAGACTACTTTGTCTCAGTTCGATTGCGACAAAATATGGAAATCATTAGATGATTTTCCCCATCTATTAACAATAATAGCCTTGATTATCTCCTTAGAAATTCAGCAAAATCATAGTGTGTGGAGAAAATCTCTGTAATTACTGCTAATCATAGGTTTTGTTCAATCAATTAATAGTGCTTTGAAACTCTCTTTACTAGCAATAAATTGAGTATTAGAATTTAAAGTTCTCTTTTCACTCACTTTCTGCACCTGCTTAGTTTTAATCTCCAAGCTCATATAATTATTTTAATTTTCTCAACAATTGTTTCCCGTGCTTCCCAGTAGCAGAAACGTTAGTTATCAATTTTTGTACTTCATGATGTTTCCATTTTAATTTAAATGCTGGAATACATAACTTTTTCTAAAGAAGAATAAATAACATCTTTCAAAACACTTAGGTATTAACATTTTACCATCTAGAAACTGTCTTTTACATTCTAAGCCTTTAATCTTGCTATGGAAGCTAGTGGTCATTTGGATGATTACTTGTCATAAAGAAAAATTCATGTAATGTAAATCTTTGCAGAGTTGCTTTAGTACTGCAAACACTTACCTTGCCTTGCCTTTTTTCCCTCCTGAGCACTCACTACTGAGGTTTCTTAAACATGAATTCAGCACTTTTGAAATAAAAGAATAATGGGGTTTCTTAAATGACTAGGAATAGTATGGGTGTATTCCTTTGAGGTTTCCCACCAAACTAAGCAAGAAAAAAATTGGTTGTGGTGGTTGTAGCTATACCAGACTCCTCTCATCCCGGGAAGTTGAGTTGTTTCAAATTACTTGATATTCTCTAGTATATAAAAAACACTCGGCCGGGCGCTCCTGTAATCCCAGCACTTTGGGAGGCCAAGGCGGGCGGATCACGAGGTCAGGAGATCGAGACCATCCTGGCTAACATGGTGAAACCCCGTCTCTACTAAAAATACCAAAAAATGAACCGGGCATGGTGGCGGGCGCCTGTAGTCCTAGCTACTCGGGAGGCTGAGGCAGGAGAATGGCATGAACCTGGGAGGCAGAGCTTGCAGTGAGCTGAGATTGTGCCACTGCACTCCAGCCTGGGTGACAGAGCAAGACTCCGTCTCAAAAAAAAAAAAAAAAAAAAAAAAAAACACACACACACACACCAGGATGATGCCACAAAAAAAAAGTGCTTTAGTTTAATTTACTTTTAGTATTCAATAAAACTACACCAGTGCATATTTGTTTAATTATGCCTTAAAACAAAAACAAAACTATAGCCCATCTAAAAAAAATGAAACTAATCAGTGCTCTTTCATTGTGCCATCTGGTTAATTATATATGGATTATTAGAAGTGGAGGTCTTGAGATAGTCGGAAAACCATGTTTCCAAGGTGTGGAAGCTAGTGAGGAGTACACATGTGTGGGTGCATGAGTAAAAGCAAGAGCACACGTGTGTGTGAGAACACAGATGTATTTTTAAAACGAGAGTTGCAGCAGGGGAAAAATGATGGCCAAACTGCTGGAAATTTTGAGTCAGAAAAGGACTGATAAACATTTTTGATTAGCTGGTCTCACCCTCTAAACTTGTCCAGCCTTCTGCTGTACTTGACCTCCATCTTTGGAAATCCACTAGTACAGTGAACTCTAACGCAGCAACCTCCAGTCTACCCTTAGCTGGAACTCATTAAACTGCCTCTTATATTTGCTGCAGTGAGCTACCTCAAAAGGTATAAGCTGTGAGAGGTAAACCTCATGTTTAACTAAGCTTCTGGAGATGTTTAGCAGCTGCCTTTTCTAAGGTTTTAATGCCTAATGAAAGCTTGATTTTACTGCTTAGATCTTAGGATGGAATATAGTTTAAATTCTTCTGCCCAAGTCTTTTGACCGAGTCTTTTAAATCAGTATTTTGTGAGTTTTCATGGGCATTCAGGATTGTGTATGTATGTATGTAAACCCATTATTGTTAGATAAATAGATTCCTTTTGTCATTTCTTTAGTGCAGAAAATTTGTAGAATATGTTGGTCAAACCAAATTGAACTTTTAAATCCAACTTTCCCGAAAGGATATGCATCTGCACTTGATAGGCTTTCTTCTTTAAGTCCTAATGAGCACTGTCCTGAGTGGGCTAATAGAGAGGTCGCATGTGTGTTGCAGATTAGGGCACACAATATGCAACCTCTTCATAAAGAAAGACACCAGATTTAGACAGATTCAAGGATGTTTAAAGCAACACACACACACACACACACACACACACACACACACACACAACCTGAGCGTCAAAGAAAATCCCAGTCTTTATTACTGTCAAATTTATAAGACAAAATAGCACCCCAAAAGACGCTTTTGAAGTGATAGATTGCAGCACGTACCACCTGGACATGGGCAGTGTAAAACAGCAGCTAAAATCAAAACCACTTGGATTCTGGCTTAGCTTTCTCCAGACAAGTACT